CGATTATTTTAGGAGAGAGAAAGAAGACGCCAGCATATGGCATTAGTGAAAGCTCTCGAAGCTCGCAGGAAATTGGAAGCAAGAGAACGAAAAAAACAAGTTTTGCTTGCTGAAAAACAAGCCAACAAAGAACGTAAAATGGAGCAGCGAAGAATAGAAATGGAGATTCTTACTGAAATTCGAAAACCATGCGAAGATCTCGAACTCGATCATAAACCATTGCCTGAATATAACCGAATATTGGGACTTAAACTGTCTGGGAAAGCATTCTCTGATATGTTAATGGTCTTTGAGTTTCTTCACAATTTTGGCGAAACTCTCGGTTTTGACATGGAATCGTTGCCGACTTTGGATACATTACAACAAGCATTATTATACAACGATACCAATACTGAAGCAGAAGAAGAACTTTTGTCGGTTATGACGCATTTGTTGGTCTGTGCTATCGAAGATCCTGGTATTCCTAATCCCGTACGTCACACTACAAGTTTAGGACAAACACTTAGACAAGCAGATATCACTCATCATAACTTATCAGAGATTTTAAGAATATACCTGTATGCAAATGCTACTGGAGAAGTTAAATCATTAACAGGTAAATAGATAGACCCTTTAGCGGTTACTTCTAGTTGCCAAGATGTAACAAAAAAACAAGTTCTTATATGAAATGTCATAAGATCACCTTAATTACTTTTTCTGTAACTGAATGAACTAAAACTCCTAGTACTTTTTGTCACCTGTATTAACAATTATAAAAGAATTTTTGGTAAATGAATATTTCTTTCAGGCGTTCATTTTGAACGAGAGCGTGAAAAACGTGTTGCTGATCACCATCAAAACGGCTGTGAAATGCAACTCACTCAATCAGGCAAGAATGCAACGTATTATGAATTATTACATGAAAATCCTACATGGAAGATGTCCGATTTACTGAAGGTTTGTAATAAAAATTTGTTAAGATTTACACAACACTCATTTTTGTTATTTAGGATAAGCCATTCTTAGCACTGTCGCCAACAAATAAAGCTGCTATATTAGCTTATCTTTGCAATGAACTGCTTCAGAACAAGGCTGTGATTAGACAGATTGAAGGATCTCTTGATAGTGTTGTGCAACTGAAGAAAGAAAAATGGATATTAGATACGAAAATTCGAAAGTATGCTTTTCGAATTTTACAGGAATTTTTTTTTATTGCTTTTCTATTTTACAGATTGCGCATGCTTTATAACAGGAAAATACGATCTGAAGCTACAGAAAGGTCAATCAATAAGACCGATGGAGACGCCACTGAATCAGTAACGGAAGAATTGCCACTTCTTCATAAAGATGATTTGTTAGATGAAGATGAAAATGAAATGAGTGAAAATGAAAGCGTTGGGACACAACCTGAAGAAGAAGAAGACAATAAGTTATCGGGAGAGGAACTTGGAAAGAAATTGGAAAAGTTGGTAAAACAGTCTCAGATTCATCTTCAGTCGCTTAATGCAGCAGGGCATCAACTTCGTGCAACTTGTTTCGGACAAGATCGTTATTGGCGAAGGTATTGGTCACTACCAAAAGCCGGGGGAGTTTTCGTTGAAGCCATAGAATCAGCAGATCCAGAATTTCTCGAAGAGATTCAAAAAGATGAAAAAGTGAATGAAACTAACATTAATACTACAACTACCACTCACTTAGAGACTGAACAGAACGACAGTCCGCCAAGAAGTCCTTCTATAGACCGGGAAAATAACGTATCAAGTGAGCATAGTGACGTAAGCGAGGAGACTGAAAAGACTCTTAATAACAATGAAAATGAACATAGAAAAACTCCAAATAGGTTAGATCTGGTTGAAAATGGTGAAATAGGCGATATTTGTGAACGAAATTTGGATGAGCTACGGAAAAGTGTTGATCGAATAGTACAGAGTCTTGAGATGGGTTGTGATTACCCTAAAAAAGAAGACCAGCAGTCTGAAAATAACGAAGAAAATACAAAACCTTCCGAAATAGAAATAGACATTAATCATGCCAACGAAGTTGTTGATGCTGAACATAATGATGCAGATGAAATAAAAGTAAAATTAGAAACAGAAAAAGAGGAAAGTCCAAAGAAGTTCAACTTATTTGAGAGGTTAGGTGAATGTATGGAGAAAGCAAATGAAGATAAAATGAAGTCCGAGCTAAAAATGGAATGTAAAGAAGAAATAAAAAGTGAAATCCTTAACGAACTGAAATCTGAAATAAAAAGTGAAAAACAAGAAGACGAAGACGAAGAAAAGGCCGAAGCAGAGAACAAATGGTTTAGTATTTTGACAAGGGATGGTAGTACTTGTGAAGAACTACATCTTACACAAGGAAACCGATGGGATGCAGGTAGAGTACTCATTATTTGCTTAATTTTGAATTTCATGTTATTTTTACTAAACTAAACTGCTTGCAAAAATTGAATAGGCGGGTACATACACACATAACGCAGTTGTTCATGGTACATATGCATGAATGTAAAAAAAGTTCGCTTAGTTTGTGAACATTTTAAATGGATGTCATAGTAGTTGCTGAGAGATCGCAATCTGTTTCTAGGTGGGGTTGGAATATGTTCTCGCGAAAACATAACCGAACTTAAAATTCCGGTCTTTCCTCCGCCATCTAATGCCGGCTACAATTCTTGTGACAGTCCGGGTCCTTTACAAATGACCGCAGAGGAAAGTACCCAACTCGAGTATATTAAAAAACACGGTTTTCCAGAACGATCTGAACCTAAAGTTATTCCGCGTGGCAAGCGCTACGGCTGGTGGAGGATCAAGAATGAAGAAGAACTGAAGACTGTCATAGATAGCTTACATACTAGAGGTACGCGTGAGAGGGAGCTTCGTAGAACTATTTTAAATACTATGCAAATAATGTATGAAGATAAGGGTAACGTACATATTGAAGAAGGACAAAATGACATGACTACGCTTGCACCGAGAGATTATTATGTTGAAATGGTCGAGGGAGGAGCTCCTTATCCTGACGAACCTGGTAGTTGGAATGCCGCAGTTGCTAATAGAATCGATTTGGCAGTTTTTGAACAGGTAAATTCTATACTTTTTATATTTAATTCCATGTTTATTGCAGGCTAAAATGAAGTAAAAACTTTTAATTGTTAATATCTCAATTTTAGATCTTGTGTTTGTTATTTTCATGTCTACTTATATATGTAGTATGTTTATTGCAATAAATTGGAATTAGAATATAAATTCTTCATTAAAAAAAAATATGGAAATTTCATTGAAAATAAAATTGTTGCCTTTAATTAGATATTTTTGTCATCACTTCTTTATTTCTAGTTGGAAGCATTGGAAGATAAGGTGGCAAATGCTAGTATGCAAGTCAAAGGATGGAGACCTCCGACACGTAATGGTATTGATATTCCTGAGGGTGAAATAATAATTTCTGCAAAGGAACGATTGGCAGGATTAGAAGCCGCCATTGAACGAAGATATCTAAAACCACCTCTTGGAATAAAGTAAGTAACAAGCGAGAAAATGTTTTAAAATAAAATACAATTATCATAGTAATAATGCATTTAAGAGTTATTGTTTGATTTTTCTTAATAAAATTTTAATTATAAATGTATTTCTTGTATATTTCTATTATAACAGTACCGGAGATCCAAATTTGGCAGTTATCGCACAAGAAGCATCTGGAGGAAGTACACCTATGCAATCTATGCCAAGTCCGGACGAAATTCCGAAGGGGTTGTCGGTTTGGCGCGAGGCAGTTAGTAGGGCACAGACGGCCGCTCAACTTGCTATGTGTTTGTACAGCTTAGAGTCGTCCATCGCTTGGGACAAAAGTATCATGAAAGCTGTGAGCCACCCTTCTCAGATTGATATTTTGACTAATCAGAGAGCTCGCAATTATAACACCAAACTAAGTGTGGGTGCTTGCGCTTTTTCCTTTTATTTTTTTCTTTTCATTTATCCTTTTCGCTTTTTCAATTATTTTGCTTAATTTTGTTACATTTGCTGTTTTATTGTTTTTTTTTTGTTTGACTGTGCCAAATATAACATTTACAGAGGTTNATCATGTTTTGTTTGTTAACTTCATTTCGTACATTGTTTTTTAAGATATTTAATCAAGAAATGAAAGAACCAAGCAGCACACCGCCTTCCGTTTTGGGTAACGATAAAGTTGAAGTCATAAAATTACAATCAACGAACGGTAGTCCAGGTATCTCGCCGTTATCTCTCACAACTAACTCTAGTTTTGGAGATAGTTCCTCTGATGCACCCCTTAATTTATCATTGAAACCTGCAGTCACATCGTCCTCTAACCTCTCCAGTTCTTCGCTCAATTCCCTCAGCAATATGTCTGCGAACATTGGCATGGACAGGATATGTAAGTACAAAATTCTCACACTTCGTTTTGTTATTGCCTTTTAGAAATGCAGTAAAATCTGGTTGTACGATGTGCACATGTCAAATAACAATTATAGCTCGAAGGAAACCTGGTCCGAAACCTCGTCGTGTAATTCAGGCTCCTACCCATCTACCTCCAGGTGCTCCAAGCGCTTCCTTGCAGCAGTTATTTGCAACAGCGGATTCTCCCCGCCCGCCGAGTCGCAGTGACGAAATCATTCAATTTTACAGCGGTAGTACTACTACAACAACTGTATCAACAACAACTACCACCATAACTACAACAAATTCTATTACTACCACAGTTTCTTCCCTTGCCACCTTGTCTTCTTCTGCTTCAATAATTCCCATGCACAAAGATGGTCGGCCCAGGAACCTTGGACGAGGTGTTAGTAAGCCGAAAAAGAACACCGTAGCTTCCTTGTTAGCACAAAGCAGAGCTCTAGGTATGTTCTTTTTTTTTATTGGGTAATCTTTTAATGTAGAGTAGTGATAGTAAACTTAAAGCCCTATTTTTTGAAACAAATTGTATGTACATACATATTTTTCTTATAGACCAGTGTATAATTTTATAGTTCCAAAAATGTGTTTTCTATTAAAAAAAAAAGTTGTATTTCGTACCCCTTGACCATTAATAATATTTTCTATTACCCCCGTCTCGAATAAATAACATTCAGTATATATGAAATACGTTTACTATTGGATGCGTTTCTCATTTTTGTCTTTACAATTCGCAATTTCTCATTTCAGGCATAAAGCCTATGCCAATATTAGATCCTAATACGTCCATGAATCAGCAAATATCGTTATTAAAATCAAATATTTTGGCAGCCCAGCAGTTAATGGTAGAGGTAGGGGGTGACGAAAAAACTTTTAATAAGTTATTACAGGAAAAAATTAAGGGTACTCTGAGCGACTCCAACTCGAGTACCGTTGATGCCTCTACAGATTCTGATAATCATACCGATTCTAATCATACTGATTCTGAAATAGAAGCAGAGCCATTGTCTACGCTTAAGAAGCAAAAGCAATACGATGAGAATATGTTAAGGGTACCATTAGCAAAAGGTAAATAAAGCAATTTAATTATTTGATTATAACTTTGAACTGTTGTAATTTGTTTTAAATGGAATTTTATTTAAAGGTTGGAGACGAGAAACTATAATTAGAGGCCTTGGAAAGAATGGAACAATAAAAGGGGACATTTCATACATAGCCCCCGATTCATGTAACAAATTTAGGCAAATGTCAGATATTACTCAGGTAAAACGGCTCTCTACCTAAATTTTCTTTTTTGTCACTTAAAAGAAATTGTTTTTTTCTTAGTACTTAGATTATCATAAGGTCCCAGACTTAACAAAAGAAAATTTCACATTCAGCAGTCGGGTTATCATTGGGGACTACTTACAACCGGTTCCTGTAGGAATGGGAACTGAAGGAACCGATTGTATTAAACTAAGTGAAGAAGATGTTATTAAAAGGTAATTTACATTACACATTCATATATAAAAAAAAGTATTCGTTAAATAGAAAAACAAGTAATTATGTACGATTTTTGAGGTCCATATGGTCATTTTTTCAATATGATGGATGAAAAGAAAGTAATATTTATTTAACTTTAAAATAAACCGTTTTTTGTGAACAATATGAAATAAAAATTAGGGAAACGCTTAAGCAATATGTAAAGAGTTGGCGCCTAAAGAGACAGAGAGAGAAAGGAAAAAAGTTAAGGAATACGGTTGTCAACCGTTTGATCTGATAACTTTGTTCTTGAACAACATAGAACTTACATTGTGAAATTAGTATTTTCTTGTTACTGATGTTAGATGCTATACATCATTGCATTGGCGAGTACTATAAAAATCGCATGTTTTTTTATCTGCTATTTATTTTGCTAAAGTAAGTAAAGGAGTACTATTTTCAAGCAATTCAATGATTCAAGGGTCGGTGCCTTCTGAGGTGGAGAAAATTATAATTACATTAGTATCTATAAATAACCGATAAAAAACAAAGTGGAGACTGAGAATTTATCAAAATTTATTTGTTCTTTTTAATGATTGAATATTATAGGCTAGAAGAATTGAAAGCGACGATGCGATCGAATCTTGCAGTAGAGCAACGGATAGAAGTTGCGAGAAGACAGCAGGCAGCGAGAGCGCAGGCTCGTCTTGAAAAAGAACAAGCACGTATACAGAGAGAAATGGAAANGCAGTAGAGCAACGGATAGAAGTTGCGAGAAGACAACAGGCAGCGAGAGCGCAAGCTCGTCTTGAAAAAGAACAAGCACGTATACAGAGAGAAATGGAAAGAAACGAAAAACAGGAAGCCGCTAGGAAAGAGCGAGAAGCAAGATCCCAACAAATGCTCGAGGTTTGATAATTTTAATTATTGAGTGGTTTACCTTTCTGTTTTTTTTTTATTATTTGTTTATTTTAATTTTTGTAAATGTCTTGCCTCGTCTTATTAAGTGGGCTTTTTGTATTATTTGTTGTTTATTTGTGTCGTTTTGCATGTAACAGGCCAAGAGAAAGAAACAGGAACAAATTGAAAAGCACAAGCATGAAGAACAACTTCGAAAGCAACAGGTACAGTAAAGCTACTGCTTTTGTTTCTATGTTTGATTTTATTATTTTTTTTCTTCGGTTTATATTTGGATGTATTCCTTTTTTTGTGAGAAACTTAAAAATATCCTAGAATTAGTTAACTTATTTATTTTTGTCAATTGTGCTTAATTCGTAATGTCGTTATAGCCATACAAGTTTGTACTGTTTACTCATTGACAAAAAAAATTGTTGTTTATACGTAGGTAATATTAATTTAAAGTTATAAAGACTAATAGTTAACACAAAATAATCAGCACTTTTTGTTATAGGAACGAGAATTAAAGAGGCAACAACAAGCAATGCTTAAAGAACAGGTATGCTCAATAAGAATTACATTGTAATTTTTGTTTTTAATTAGGTTATTAGTTAATATAGACCGATAGCGTCGTATAGTACTGTTAGTAAACGTGTGTTTTTAGTTTTATGGTAAATTAAATTCTTAATCACTTTTTCTTGAATTATTGGGATAACTTTGGAATAAAATCTTTATTTTTATGACACACATTTTGATATTCATTTATAGTTTTAAGTGGAATATACAAGCAAAACGTATCAGAATCACCTTATAAATACCGTTAACGGCATGACAAAATGTTATTGTAAAGTACCTTTATTATCTGCCTATAACATATTTATTAGCGACATTTGAAATTTTTTTGATGAACATCACAGCTTTACTAAACGGGAAAAGAAGAAAAGTAAAATACAATTTATTGCTCTTAATTAATCTAATAAGAGATATATGTTAGGTTTAAGAATTGAACAAGGGACGCCCTTGCAAAAATTATATTTTTTTGTTTAAACGTTATTGTTTTGGTATCTTATCGTCTTGAGGACGTAAAGAAAAAACAAATAGTCTTATACTTAATTAACCAAAAAATAATTTTTTACAAGTTGATTTTCTATAAGAAAACCCGAAATTATTGTAAAATTGCAGTAAGTTAAATGTAGACAAGAAAATATATATAGTTTTTGGCATTTCTCCTAGATGTACATGCAAGAGATGAATAAACAGCGAGAGGTGCTCTTCACTGTTGAATTGGTATGAATTACATATCGAATGCATGCAGTAAAAACTTTTTCTTTTCCTCTTTTAATGTATAGCTTGACAGCACTGCTGTGAAAATTAGGAAGCAAGGCTTGGGATTAAGTTGTCAGACATCAGTATTTAGGTGCATGCCAAAGTATTTATATCGTCACATATTCATTTTTACGCAACGCTTTACTAATGATTTACGCGTTTCTTAGCGAGAATAAGTCACATTCCTAAAACAGTAGTAAATGTTTGGAATTATGCATGAATATGCATATGTATATATATGCAAAATATAGTGTTCTCTATTTTTATATATGTTTACTTTGTTAATTAGAGATGTTTGTTACATGTTAAATTAATAAAATATTCATTAATGTAAAAAAATCGACATGTGAATAGCAGTTATTTTTTGCTTAGTTCACACCATTGAGTGTTTGCTGTATGATAAATGTTTGCAAACGTTGAGGACGGCAAAATATTTTTTTTCCCAATTTGATTTGTTTACTTTTACTTTCATAACTATTGTTAGTAGAAATGGCGAGCTTATCAATTACAATAATAACTTATTGTGATTAAATAAGTATACATATATTTGGAAAGTTCATGTTTTCTATTCTTAATTTGAAATTCGATACCGTGACGATTACATGATTAAAGGGTTGCAGTTTTTTTATATATGCAATATTATTTACATGAATATGTAAACATCAAAAACTTATTTTATTTATTTTTTCCATACAAGTGACTTTTCTCGCAATAAATTTAATTAACTGCATGTAAATATTTTTAGCTGATAAATATTTATTGTATTTTAAATACGATTATTTTAGGAGAGAGAAAGAAGACGCCAGCATATGGCATTAGTGAAAGCTCTCGAAGCTCGCAGGAAATTGGAAGCAAGAGAACGAAAAAAACAAGTTTTGCTTGCTGAAAAACAAGCCAACAAAGAACGTAAAATGGAGCAGCGAAGAATAGAAATGGAGATTCTTACTGAAATTCGAAAACCATGCGAAGATCTCGAACTCGATCATAAACCATTGCCTGAATATAACCGAATATTGGGACTTAAACTGTCTGGGAAAGCATTCTCTGATATGTTAATGGTCTTTGAGTTTCTTCACAATTTTGGCGAAACTCTCGGTTTTGACATGGAATCGTTGCCGACTTTGGATACATTACAACAAGCATTATTATACAACGATACCAATACTGAAGCAGAAGAAGAACTTTTGTCGGTTATGACGCATTTGTTGGTCTGTGCTATCGAAGATCCTGGTATTCCTAATCCCGTACGTCACACTACAAGTTTAGGACAAACACTTAGACAAGCAGATATCACTCATCATAACTTATCAGAGATTTTAAGAATATACCTGTATGCAAATGCTACTGGAGAAGTTAAATCATTAACAGGTAAATAGATAGACCCTTTAGCGGTTACTTCTAGTTGCCAAGATGTAACAAAAAAACAAGTTCTTATATGAAATGTCATAAGATCACCTTAATTACTTTTTCTGTAACTGAATGAACTAAAACTCCTAGTACTTTTTGTCACCTGTATTAACAATTATAAAAGAATTTTTGGTAAATGAATATTTCTTTCAGGCGTTCATTTTGAACGAGAGCGTGAAAAACGTGTTGCTGATCACCATCAAAACGGCTGTGAAATGCAACTCACTCAATCAGGCAAGAATGCAACGTATTATGAATTATTACATGAAAATCCTACATGGAAGATGTCCGATTTACTCAAGGTTTGTAATAAAAATTTGTTAAGATTTACACAACACTCATTTTTGTTATTTAGGATAAGCCATTCTTAGCACTGTCGCCAACAAATAAAGCTGCTATATTAGCTTATCTTTGCAATGAACTGCTTCAGAACAAGGCTGTGATTAGACAGATTGAAGGATCTCTTGATAGTGTTGTGCAACTGAAGAAAGAAAAATGGATATTAGATACGAAAATTCGAAAGTATGCTTTTCGAATTTTACAGGAATTTTTTTTTATTGCTTTTCTATTTTACAGATTGCGCATGCTTTATAACAGGAAAATACGATCTGAAGCTACAGAAAGGTCAATCAATAAGACCGATGGAGACGCCACTGAATCAGTAACGGAAGAATTGCCACTTCTTCATAAAGATGATTTGTTAGATGAAGATGAAAATGAAATGAGTGAAAATGAAAGCGTTGGGACACAACCTGAAGAAGAAGAAGACAATAAGTTATCGGGAGAGGAACTTGGAAAGAAATTGGAAAAGTTGGTAAAACAGTCTCAGATTCATCTTCAGTCGCTTAATGCAGCAGGGCATCAACTTCGTGCAACTTGTTTCGGACAAGATCGTTATTGGCGAAGGTATTGGTCACTACCAAAAGCCGGGGGAGTTTTCGTTGAAGCCATAGAATCAGCAGATCCAGAATTTCTCGAAGAGATTCAAAAAGATGAAAAAGTGAATGAAGCTAACATTAACACTACAACTACCACTCACTTAGAGACTGAACAGAACGACAGTCCGCCAAGAAGTCCTTCTATAGACCGGGAAAATAACGTATCAAGTGAGCATAGTGACGTAAGCGAGGAGACTGAAAAGACTCTTAATAACAATGAAAATGAACATAGAAAAACTCCAAATAGGTTAGATCTGGTTGAAAATGGTGAAATAGGCGATATTTGTGAACGAAATTTGGATGAGCTACGGAAAAGTGTTGATCGAATAGTACAGAGTCTTGAGATGGGTTGTGATTACCCTAAAAAAGAAGACCAGCAGTCTGAAAATAACGAAGAAAATACAAAACCTTCCGAAATAGAAATAGACATTAATCATGCCAACGAAGTTGTTGATGCTGAACATAATGATGCAGATGAAATAAAAGTAAAATTAGAAACAGAAAAAGAGGAAAGTCCAAAGAAGTTCAACTTATTTGAGAGGTTAGGTGAATGTATGGAGAAAGCAAATGAAGATAAAATGAAGTCCGAGCTAAAAATGGAATGTAAAGAAGAAATAAAAAGTGAAATCCTTAACGAACTGAAATCTGAAATAAAAAGTGAAAAACAAGAAGACGAAGACGAAGAAAAGGCCGAAGCAGAGAACAAATGGTTTAGTATTTTGACAAGGGATGGTAGTACCTGTGAAGAACTACATCTTACACAAGGAAACCGATGGGATGCAGGTAGAGTACTCATTATTTGCTTAATTTTGAATTTCATGTTATTTTTACTAAACTAAACTGCTTGCAAAAATTGAATAGGCGGGTACATACACACATAACGCAGTTGTTCATGGTACATATGCATGAATGTAAAAAAAGTTCGCTTAGTTTGTGAACATTTTAAATGGATGTCATAGTAGTTGCTGAGAGATCGCAATCTGTTTCTAGGTGGGGTTGGAATATGTTCTCGCGAAAACATAACCGAACTTAAAATTCCGGTCTTTCCTCCGCCATCTAATGCCGGCTACAATTCTTGTGACAGTCCGGGTCCTTTACAAATGACCGCAGAGGAAAGTACCCAACTCGAGTATATTAAAAAACACGGTTTTCCAGAACGATCTGAACCTAAAGTTATTCCGCGTGGCAAGCGCTACGGCTGGTGGAGGATCAAGAATGAAGAAGAACTGAAGACTGTCATAGATAGCTTACATACTAGAGGTACGCGAGAGAGGGAGCTTCGTAGAACTATTTTAAATACTATGCAAATAATGTATGAAGATAAGGGTAACGTACATATTGAAGAAGGACAAAATGACATGACTACGCTTGCACCGAGAGATTATTATGTTGAAATGGTCGAGGGAGGAGCTCCTTATCCTGACGAACCTGGTAGTTGGAATGCCGCAGTTGCTAATAGAATCGATTTGGCAGTTTTTGAACAGGTAAATTCTATACTTTTTATATTTAATTCCATGTTTATTGCAGGCTAAAATGAAGTAAAAACTTTTAATTGTTAATATCTCAATTTTAGATCTTGTGTTTGTTATTTTCATGTCTACTTATATATGTAGTATGTTTATTGCAATAAATTGGAATTAGAATATAAATTCTTCATTAAAAAAAAATATGGAAATTTCATTGAAAATAAAATTGTTGCCTTTAATTAGATATTTTTGTCATCACTTCTTTATTTCTAGTTGGAAGCATTGGAAGATAAGGTGGCAAATGCTAGTATGCAAGTCAAAGGATGGAGACCTCCGACACGTAATGGTATTGATATTCCTGAGGGTGAAATAATAATTTCTGCAAAGGAACGATTGGCAGGATTAGAAGCCGCCATTGAACGAAGATATCTAAAACCACCTCTTGGAATAAAGTAAGTAACAAGCGAGAAAATGTTTTAAAATAAAATACAATTATCATAGTAATAATGCATTTAAGAGTTATTGTTTGATTTTTCTTAATAAAATTTTAATTATAAATGTATTTCTTGTATATTTCTATTATAACAGTACCGGAGATCCAAATTTGGCAGTTATCGCACAAGAAGCATCTGGAGGAAGTACACCTATGCAATCTATGCCAAGTCCGGACGAAATTCCGAAGGGGTTGTCGGTTTGGCGCGAGGCAGTTAGTAGGGCACAGACGGCCGCTCAACTTGCTATGTGTTTGTACAGCTTAGAGTCGTCCATCGCTTGGGACAAAAGTATCATGAAAGCTGTGAGCCACCCTTCTCAGATTGATATTTTGACTAATCAGAGAGCTCGCAATTATAACACCAAACTAAGTGTGGGTGCTTGCGCTTTTTCCTTTTATTTTTTTCTTTTCATTTATCCTTTTCGCTTTTTCAATTATTTTGCTTAATTTTGTTACATTTGCTGTTTTATTGTTTTTTTTTTGTTTGACTGTGCCAAATATAACATTTACAGAGGTTTTTCTGACGGGAGGGATACATAATGAGGAAACGTTGATTCAGTTTCAAATTAGTACATTTCCTTTGTAATATCCACAACGCATTCTGTGCTCCGAATATAAATTTGGATCAGTGAACCATTTTGGCAACTGCACACAACATATGTAATAAAATAGTTTGTTGCATTTTTGAATAATCATTATTCCTGACTTAATTTTAAGGCACAATATTTGTTCAAGTCGACAGCTTAAAATCTCGTTCAGAAACGCTTCATTATCAAACAATGACCGCGGTATATTACTTCCAAAAGTCTTTTAAAGTATAGGGAAAGTTATTAAATAAATTCTTATTTTTTTTTATTTACCTTTCATTTAATATCTCTGTTTTCTTAAAAACATTACTTTTTATTACGTTTAGGCATCTTGAATAAATTTAGGAGAGTAAATTAAAGAAAATTCCATGGTCTGTAATACATCATTTACAATGGTCAAAGGCACAGTCAACCATTTGTCAATGCTTATATTATTGTTCGTAAATTGTCACATTAACAATAGATCGTAGATTTTTAACAGTACTTCTTAATTACATGCTATTTAGAAAATAATTTTATAGATGTCACAAAAGTATTGCAAAACCAAAATATTCGTACTTCGGCTACTCTTATTAGAACGATAATTAACTATTCATAAATTCAGAAATAATTTTAAATAAAACATATTTTGCTCGAAATTTTAAAAATAGTAAAATACTCTCATTTGTCTTTGTTAATATGACTAAGCACCACACTATCATCCGCCCCTCTCAGACAGGCAAGAGAGTATCTATTCATAATAAAACCGCGAACAACTAATTATTAATCCTAATTTGTACTATCAGCAGCACTCATGTTGCTTTACATTATATAATTCTTTACTTTGGCATGAACTACCTCACTTCAATTTTATTCTTTTTATTATTTGCATGTTGTACTTTTTCTATGCGCACATTCACTAATAACCTCTCGCCGGTTGTCATTGAGAATTATAATAACAGTAAATAAAAAAGTAGATCTTTTCTTTTTCCTACTTATATTTCGCTACTATATATTTCAAGAATGTTTATTAATGTACCAATAATTTTAGAATTGCCAATTTTGTCATAATGGAGATAATGAAGATAAACTATTACTTTGTGACAGTTGTGATAAGGGATATCACACGTACTGTTTTAAGCCAAGAATGGAAAATATTCCCGAAGGAGACTGGTAAGTGTTATTTCAATTACACTTGAATAAAAGGATAATATCATAAATAAAAAGAACTATTCTTTTGTGAGTAAAATATATTTATTTATTGATAATAAATGTTTTGTCTTGATAATTTTAAGGAATTTTTCCTCTTTTCAGAACTTTATACTTTTGTGTTTGAATACCATTTTTCTTGTTTTCGTTTATATTTCAGGTACTGCCATGAGTGCATGAATAAGGCGACAGGTGAAAGAAATTGCATAGTTTGCGGAAAGAAACAGTCAACAACAGGAACGCGTTTAATTTTCTGCGACTTATGCCCCCGTACTTATCATACAGACTGTGTAAGACCTGCTCTAAATAAAGCGCCTAGAGGGAAGTGGTACTGTTCAAACTGCATTAGCAAAAAGCCCCAGAAAAAGCCTGTAAAAAAGTCTACACCAAAAGTGGCTCGCGATAGTGAATCGTCTGATCATCCTCCAAACAGGTAAACTTTAATCTTAAAAATAACAATAAAAGTGGTTATAATTGTTCGGTAAAATCCAGAAGTGTTTAGAATTTTCAAAATGAAATGCTTTTTTATATGTATTAATAATATACATATGTATAGATGTATAATATAAACATACAGGGAAGACAATTAACATAAAACAATTATTCCTAGACAGTAAAAAGTTAAAGAGGTGTCCATCAATTAGGAATTATTAGGAAAGTCAATGGAGTCGGTAATTGTCGAGGAAATTTCAATAAAGTGCGATATTGAACTTTTCAAGTTAAAATCCTTTTAAAAACCGTTTACTGTTAAAGTTAAAGGGAAAATATAAAGGAGAATGCGCCCTCAGCCAAGCCTTTTTGGTGTAACTCTATTCCCATATTCAATAACCAATTAATAGTTCTATAAAAATGCAATTTATAATCTATTACGAAATTTACGTATCTTCTAATTGAGTATCTTGAAGTGAGTAAAGATTCTCTACTACCGCACCATTGAAAGTCCTGCGACAAGCGACTGAGCTTTTAAATACATAATTGCGTCCTTAAAGGACAGGTAAACAAAGGCTTTATAAGGGTGTTATTATCTGTAGGTTTGTATATTATAAGTTAAGCAGAATATCTTTTTTTATTGCATAACCGATTAAGGATGCAGTTTGTAAAGTAGGCAGTACCTACTATATACAGAACAATAATTATAATAAATAAATTGTTTTACAAAACATTACTAATTTGATTCAAAATACCTATTTTGCTCTGTAGATATATAAAAATGTATTATTTTTTTTGCGAGGTGATGTAAAAAGCGGTTATTGTTTATTTTGTTTATAGCCCAGCCCCTTCACACAGTTCAGCCACTACAAACGAAGACAAGAACGATCAATCTAGCGATTTAACAAATTTTAGCAATGTTGGATCTCCATCGTCCAATCAAGGAAAAAAGGATAAAGTTTCAAAAAAAATCATCAAAGAGCTTGCACCCTGCAAAGCAATTTTAGAAGATCTTGAGTGCCATGATGATGCTTGGCCTTTCTTACTTCCAGTCAACACTAAACAATTTCCAACGTATAAAAAAATTATTAAAAGTCCCATGGACTTGTCAACTATTAAAAAGAGGTTACAGGAAGCTCAGTAAGTAAACAAGCTTTTTAATAAACATAAAAACACTAATATTTTAATAATTCTAACTTCAAATCTTGAGAACGTCTTATTTTAAAATTGAAAAAGGAGTATAAAAATCATCCCATTTTATACAGTCACTGATTAGTAGACATTTGTGATGGGTTTTCCGATTTAACAGAAATATTTTTGTTGTCATATATAACCACGGTTGGGTTTTGCTTATAAATGCCTGTATGAGTTTTTTCTTTTTTAGTTACAAATCCAAAGAAGAATTTTGCGCTGATGTGAGACAGATTTTTAACAACTGCGAAACATTCAACGAAGACGATAGTCCTGTTGGAAAAGCGGGGCACATGATGCGACAATTTTTTGAGGCAAGGTGGAACGAATTGTGCTCTCTTCATAGTTGAGGCTTGTTACTTCTCAAGTGATTAACACAATGAACGCTGTAGCAAATGCCTTCGAAAATTCGTGTTTAAATTAATAAGTTTTTTTTCTGTAAAATGACTATTTTATGTCAACGACTGACGAATAACATGATAGTCAACCGCTTAAGTTTAAAGAAAAAGAAAAACAGAAAAAACAGTTAGCGAAAAGAAAAATGAAGCCTAGTCTTTTATGTACTGTGTGTGTTTATTGGACTGGGTTTTGAAGACTTTAAGTAGATTTAATAAATAAATAAATAAATAAATGCTTGGACGATTATTGTCTGATAAACTATTTAATGAAGTATCTCAAGACAAGCTAATCGGAACTGAAAAGGAAAAAGGTTTAAGGCTTCTGCTGTTGTTTGTATTTTTAGGTGTACATTTGTATACAGCATCGAATTCGAAAATTTTTAGGATCATTAAGCCGTGGTTTACTTAACATTTAAAGTAACTTTTGTACTGTAGTCTTATTTAAATTAATTTATTTAGTTAATTGATTAATTGCGTGTTTGTGTATGTGTTAAGACATTTTTTGATACATATTACGTATTAATTGTTTCTATTTATTTCTTAAGCTTTTAGGTGCTTTTTTTCTATTTTTACTATTATGATTGCTACTTACAACTAAAGTGGCCGCTGTTACAGTATTTGAAAGAGTTATGAGTATGTCAGAGATGTTGTTTGCTTCTTTAGACCATTCCACTCGTGATTCGTTCATGGTTGTTTCTTTTTCAAACAAACTTGCCATAATACTTTTCACGTTTTATTTTTCCCCCCGTCATTTATACATTTTTTTACCGTTTGCTTTTTTGTACGACACAAAATGTTTCGAGTCTCAATAAATGTAAAATAAAGAAAACACTGAATATATGTAACAAAAATGATAGTTCTCTCTGTAAATAAAATGGACAAAGTTCTCGAATACATTGCATTATTTAAAATATTTTTCTTATTTCTAATCATTTAAAAACTCGCAGTAGTTTAAAGAAAATAAAAGCAAACCTAATGTCAAGAAAAATTTTAGAACAGTTATTTCAATAAATAGATATCATAAATATCTGGTACCCTTGAAACACATAAAATAAAGTTTTTTAAAAACCGTTTGTCGTTAATCTAACTGCATCGTATTTTTTTTTATTTTTGAAGAAATGACTATGAAAATTGTTTTAACACAACTTTCATAAAGTATTTTTGGGTCGAGTTCAACATACCATTTAAATTAACTCATTAATGACCATGAAAGCTCAGTACTTGTATGTTTAAGTTCTTAATCAGAAAATCGAAACTGCTAGATCCGAGTGGTAATTTCGATATTTAATCTCATCAGCGCGCCAAAAGCAGTCTCAATAATTATATTGCCTACATTCAAGCAGTGTATAAATTTGGTGTAGTGTTTCAATTTTATATAAGGAATAATATTTTTGAATTTTGCAGTTTTTCAACGTACTTATAGGCAAAAAAAAAATGCAGAAGCTTTTAAGACCGATATAATAAAGCTGAATTATTCAAGTTTTCTTTATTTTGGAAATTATCCTTTGTAGTAAAATAGCTTATATAAAATCATATTCATCGATAAACAAAAATATGGCTAATTTTTAAATTTAGTTTAGTCTAAAATATAACACTACAAAATAAAAAATTGCTTATGGTTTACTTTTATTGGAAAGGAAACACCGTTATGTGAATTTTAGACACTACCACTCTTGTTAATCAAATATTACCACAGATAATAGATATGTAGTGGGTCTCACTTCAATGAGTGGGTCAGTTACCCTTTGTGTATCTATTATCTATGATTGTAGCTTATCTATGATTGGAACAGTAAACTTGAAAGCGTCAACAGAAACATCCAATTTGAAAATCTAACGAGTTACGTGATGTTTATTTGTAATAAAAGTAGTATTAAATTAGTGTAGGACCTAGTATCTTGATCTTATGTTAACGTGATTGTGGAAATGAATGAAAATAAACAACGTTTAATTCACAATTTTGTGGATGAAACAGTGATGGTTACACCAAAACCAAATGCGTGTTCTACAGTAGAAAAGAAGAATAAGTTTAAAAAAGGAGATACAAAGGTTACACATGATTGGGAAGATGCGGCAAGGTCATCAAGTGAATCCTTGGGCATCTTGTCTCTTAATGATGTTCGTGTAGATAGCAATACTTTAGAAGACTGTGACAGTAAGAGATATTCCGAATTTGACAAACAAAAGCGACTAGCATTGAACTTGTTGAATAGGACTCAAAATGTTGGGAAATTACCATCACAGTATTTAGTACCATCCTCAACAATTAAAAAGACTAACAGTAAAATGGAAACTGATGAAAGCACAATAAATGAGTCTGACATACATAAATTATTAGAGCAAGCTGATTCGAAAAATTCGATTAGCGATTTCAGAGAGTTACCTCAGTCAATTTCATCAATTTTTAGTGTTAGTAAAATGTCTGAATTGTTTGGAAGAAGTAAACCATCAGAATTTACACCACATGAGAATTCAACTCCACGTACTTCCCAGTTCTCAGGAGAATACAGTAAAAAATTAGCAGAAATTACAAATGAAATAGTAAATACTGACATTAGCATGTCTGAAGTTTTGAAAGATTTTCGAGAATTTGATACATGTTTGTCAGAATATCCACAAGTAAGTGATATAAGCAATGGTTCATTTGTTCCATCAGAACTAGCTATTGAAAGACTTAAAGCAGATGAATTGGCCTGGATGAAAGAGCATGGTTCTTTAGTACTTAATGATCTCAAAATTTCTGATATTAGTTCCTTTATAAAATCAGGAAATGATGATAGTGGAAAAATTTCTGAATTCTTCTTAAAGAAGTCAGAAAATATAAGCAACCTTAACTTAAATCCCAGTCCTGAAAAGCAAAATGAACCTTATCCTTTAATAGACACAACAGGAGAAACAACTGATAATGTAATGGTAAATAATAGCAATAAAAACAGTGAAGCTGTAGATGAAACTTTTAATGTGGACACCCTTAGTCAGGAAATTCAGAAGATGATTTCTTCCAATGATGATACAGTACATGTTCTTAGTATGATTTGTAAAAAAGGTATGTTTTCAATTTACATTTTTTGCAAGTAATTAGTAAATCAAAACTATTAAATTTTAAGTAGAAAACCAGAAAAGGTGTTTATAGTAATCATTGTGTTCATTGCATATTTAAATATAAATTCAATCTTTTTATTGTTTTATTAGTAGTTCGATCAGAATAACTAACACAGTAAAAATTGTTTAGGGTTTACCAAAAACAAAGATGAAGATGATAATGTTGAATCTTTAAAAGCAGAAAAGCAAGAACGGAAAAACGAAGCTATTCTAGAACAAGAATATTCCAAAGTCAAAAAGGATAGTTCTTCCAAATTTTCATTGCAGAATACCCCCAATAAAATGAAAAAGAGTCCTACAAAGAAATCTTTACCGACATCACCTCTATGTGAAAGCAATAAAATTGAAGGCAGGCATTCACATAAATATGCAAGGGATTCTCAACGATATAGCCATTTCCCTGGCGATGACGTAAAAAAATATCTAAATAGAGCATTTGTGAAATTGCCACATACGTTTCCTGAAAAACATCGTAATTCAACTTCACTCGCTCCTACGACAATAAATAAATATTCTAACGAAAAAGAAAATAATAGTAATAATCGCAAATGTGCAGAACCCCTTACTAGAGATACGAATGCAAAATCTAGTAAATTGCAGTACAGTCTCTCAAAAGATCGAATTTTGGAAGAATATTGCAATTTTACTTCACAAAATCCTCAGAATCATGAGAAAAAGGAAAGGCATGAGAAAATTGAAAAACGTACTGAAAATGTAGATTATTTGGAAATTCCAACTATAGACTTTTTTCAAAATAAGAATCCTTCCAAAAGTCGTACTCCTGAAAAAAAATCTCAATCGCAAACGCTCGATACAGAAATAGGTCCCGAAGGACAAAAAATCTCTTTCAAAAGTAACAGTCCGACAAATGAATTAAGAAGTTTCTCTCCAAACTCTTGTTATTCAGGAATTTCTGATGATAAAAGTTCTCGAGGATCAGTTAGATCTGGAAGCAGTTTAGATAATTTACCTGATGGCAAATTGCCAATCGAAAGCTCGCATATCGAACTGATTTGGGGTTGCGTTAAAGTTGGTAAAAAATCTACTCAAGAGTTCCTATTAAGAAATCGTTCTCATCAAAAATTACGTCTCGAAGCGTCTGTAACAGGATCCAGTTTCAAAATATCGAGAGACAAACATGATTCTGAACTTCGTACTAACATACAACTTATTTTGTATCCAAAAGAGTCCCGAACAATAAGCGTTTCTTTCTTTCCAACGTCTATAGGTTCTGCAGCAGAACAGCTAAACTTTTATCCTGCCGATAAATCACTTCATTCCCAGTATACCTCAAAACAAATGATATGGCTTTTTGGTTATGGCGGACACGCTAATGCTGAACTGCAAAATATTACGAAAGACACCAGAGGCAAATATTGGTTATCTTTGGGAAACATTAATGAAAGCAATGATTACATTAAAACATTCGAAATTAAAAATGTAGGCCCTCTTTCAAGTTTTAGCATATTTGAAGTAGAAAGTAGAGGACTGAGAAAGTATTCCAATATTAATGTGAACCCTTCCCATGTTGTGATAAGACCCAATGAAGTAGTAGAAGTTTCTATAAGTTTTTATCCTAATAAAGATGATTTTAAACAAATTATGGAATTGATGAACAGAGAGGGAGTTGAACTGGCTCACATAAATATTATTAGTGGCCCTGAACCTCTAAGAGGGCGAATAAGGAGACTGAGGAAAAAAATATCAGAACAAATGGGTGCTGTACCTGATTATCCTATAGTACAAACATTAGCCGTTGCCTTTCCAGGTAAGTAAATGTAAAATTTAGTATATTTTGGTTTTATTAAAACAAAAATACAAAACAAGTTTTTCAAAAAACATTTAGAATATTAATTCCCATTCATTAAGAAAAATTAAGTTTCAAATATTCAAAGTTCTTGCGTAAAGAAGATATTTTTTTATTTCAAAAATATGGTTTATAGGTTCTTTTTAAATACTAAGAATTCTCTAATGAAGTTAAATACTGATTAATTTTTAATTAACTATCTTATTGTCGCTATTTATATTATTCAAGAAATTTTGTTTATTTCACTTTTATAGAGAATTCAAGTTGTTAAAAAGTAGATAAAATAACTGATTATTAAAACAATGTAACTTAAAATTTAAATCTGTACTAAAAGATAATTGTTTAGGTGAGCAAATTCCTCGTGATATCTCGCGATGTAAAGAAAGCCCCACAGCCATGAAGGAGCTCCTTAAACACTTGTCACATAAAGAAATAGTAATCACAATGGAACAGGATATTGACCAAACAATTGTAGGAAATTTAAGATGTCTTGATGACTCTTCCCACTTTTATTCTTTGTGTCAAAATGATAGAACACTAACAGTTTTTGAAACAACTTCCCGCCAGTTTGGCAATTTTGGTATAGAGCCCGATAAATTATTTTTGACTCCCCCTAAGAAAATAGAAGATTCATTTTTGATTACATGTGAAAGGAATAGAGAGATTTATTTTGAAATTATCCCAGACGATCAGGATTTACTGCAATGCAATCCACAAAGTGGAACCGTTTTGTCAAATGAGCCTGCACTTGTTGTCATACGTTGCAATGTTAGTAAAATTGATCGACCTCTAATTTTATCAAAAGTTAAAGTTTATGTAGAGAATGAAGTCACCGAAGTTCTGGTGAAAATTGTTGTAATACAAAATCTAAAAACACCTGCTAATTACGCCATATAGTTATTATTATTTTTTATTCTAATGTGTTCTGATAATTGCATTTATATGTTCTAAATTGTTTTCTGGGAAAATTTAATAAAAAACATTCGTATTTTTTTTTTGTTTGTTTATTTATACACGTAGGTGCAAAAAGCCAAAAATAGAGAAATCTTACAGGAGCACTAAAGCACCGTGAGCAAACCTACTAAAAAGATATAATAATCTAAAATCAATCAATCAAAAACTAATGAATGTTCTAAATATTTAAGTATGGCGTATAAGTAACTCTATAAATGATAATCAAGTTCATTAAAATAACCATATAAAATGTAATAAAGAAATATTCAAATTAAAGTAGGTATCAACAAGCGTAGGTTTGGTAAGTGTATGATCTCTATGTATTGCTATTACAATTACAAAAATAATAACTGAATATAAAGCTAAATAATTATGTTATATTTTGTAATGTTCATTTTATAAGGTAATTATGTCGGCTTTTATATTTCTTTACATTAAAAACTCATTTTGGTTTCTGAATTTTTTTATAACATTAGTTAAGATGAATTTATGCAGCTTAGTGTTTATATTCTAAAGTAATGTAAAGAAATAACTAAGATAATGAGCTATAACGAGATAGTTATTAGTAATAATGATAATTAGAGAAATAACAAATGAGTAAAGAAACTTTTTGGCAATTAAAAAAAAAGCCGAAAATGGTCGACAAAATGTCTTTTTTCAAATTTGAAAATGTTACTTTCCCAACTATAGACTTTTTT